ATATTTCTTATTTTTTCCAGTTTTTCTTCGAATAAGTATAAATCAAATATCATAAGTATCGTATTGTCTCCAAAGTCATTAATACTTAAAATGAAATAGACAATCCTATACAGTGTGAAAAATAAAAAACTGAACACCCTGAATAACTTATGATCTAATGATTGGATCTTCACGTTCTATCAATCTTAATCTATCTCAATCTTAAAGGTTCGAAGGGGTGACTTCAAATATGCTAATTATTTGGTGCACACGATTTTTCAAGTCACAGAATCAGACATAAGAACATACTTTCTCTTAATAAACATACCTTTTATTCGACAGATACAGATTTTTGATCCCAAAATCTGGGGGACAGCCGCATTAAGGGAAATATGGTCCCAAAAGTTTGATTAGGAAAAAGCAAAAAGCTTGCTCCTGAGAAATCTAATTTTAAAAATACGACTTTCTCAACATTTGATGTCTCAAGAACTATTTGAGCGATTTCGCTTACATTATTATTATTGGTATTTTGTAATTTAAAATTGTCTTATTTAAAACGGCGTGAACAATTGCATATCTTACAATTCAGAAGATTTTCGAAAGTAGTAAATAAATTAATAAATCTATACTAGAAGTTATGTTTTTCTAGAAATTATCTTTGGATAAACGAATTTCATAATTTTGCGTGAAAATTTTTCAATTCTCTCAAAAAATTCTCGAGATATAGGGAAATATCCAAAAATTTAAATTAATATTAAGGGGTCCAAACTTTGGGCCGTTCTTCTAACTAAAGAATTGTGATCTAATTTCGTGACCTAAAATATAGTCTGCCCTAATTAATTAGCACATTTGAGCTTACCCCCTAGAACTATTACGATTGAGTCCTAGAACGTGAAAATCCGATAATTAGAACAGAAGCTATTCAGGATAGTCCCATTTTTTATTTTGCGCATTGTACATGTTTGGCTATTTTATTTTATGTATTAATTACTTAGGATATTAATGACATTGAAGATTAAAACGGTGAAACCAACGTCATGTCATTAGCTGAAATATATGCTTTAGTTTCTTCTATGTTTATGAATTATTCATATTATTAATTATTCTTATTTATATAATTTGCTCTAAAAAAATTATTGTGTATTAGATATGACTAGTGGCTCCTCAAAGCTATAATTCATTTTATGCTATGTAATTACCTCTTACGCTGCAGTGCTTCTAATTAGCACATATATTCTTCAGTCTATCTTTTCTAAATAATTTCTGATAATTACCATATATTTACATCCGAAAAAGAAAGCAAAAATGTGGTAAATCATAACTTAAAAAATGCTGAATGTAAAATAGGTGCTTCATACAAATCAGTGAAGTCTTTTTATAAGGGGTAAGTGATACATAAGACAATTACTTACATTTAATATTAGTTGTTCATTATTTTAGGTTGAAATGCAAGTTATTGTACTTTAATTATCGCAAGAAATAATTAGAAGTTTCTGGTAAAAGCGAAAAAATAATACTGAATTGTATGACATTTCTTTTTCATAAAACGAATTTACGAGCTGCACATAAATCTTTTAAGAAAACAGAACAAAGAAGACAAAAGATATTTACGTTCTGCATATCAAATGGTAGAATTAAGCACACGATATAGTATTTCCCGTTTTTTTCGGTGATTTATTTCATACAGAATAAAACCTTTTTTAAAACGAGGGGGAATTTTTGAAATCAAATGTATTCATGAACGATAACTGTGGTAAATAATAAAACCCAAATGTTTTCTGAAATCTTTCGATACGAAGTTTTATTCTGAAGCAAAGTAATTGCCTTCATGGCGATGAATAGTGGTAAGGAATGTTAGTAAAAAGAGAACCCAAGTGCTAATGATCTTCGCTCAGAAAAGAAAAGATAAAAAAAAAAAGAAAAATAAAGAAACCAAAGCGTAGCATTTGTTTAGCAGGTGCGCGGCATTTCCCTTCGGTCTTTTGCTCATTAAGATAGTAATGAGTATCATTATGAGTTTAGGCCAACTTACATGATTACAACATGTAGTTTGAAAGTACTATCCACTTAATCGCAATTAATGAACAAAGTTAAAATCGGAAACACTTCTTGAATGATTAATTTCCTTCAAAAACCTCTTCGAAAGAAAACTTTCAGTTGCTTTTCTGCAATTTTTTTCAGCTACTTAATTTTATTGTTAGTGGAAGAAAAAAGGTTTTTTTATATGCTTAGCTACTTAATGCCAAAGCGTTATAATATGTCTGTTTCATTTATATAAATAATGCAATAATGAATTATATACTATCTATAAACATGAGGTTCGTATGTTTAAAAAACAAAAAAGTAACAAAGTGATGAAAAATTTATTATACTTCATTTTTTACTTTGACTACTTTTTAAAAGCCGTAATTTTAAACTATAGATATTCTATTTAAGTTATCTTCTATTTGTTACGTATACTTTGTGCTTAGGGACGGTCATGTTATGCAAATTCAAATAATTCAGAATTGATTGGACTTCTGATTCGAAATTATTTTTATTACACAACTAAAAACGTACTTACCAGAGATGCCAACTTGCTTCGGACAGCAAATATATATTTTGACACGTTCACGCCGGGAAAAGTGAAAATACTGGTACGGGAAAAGTGAAAATACTGGTTGAAGAACTATTTCAATATTAGATAATATTCGGCAGGAGTTAATATATTCTCAACAATAACAATTCACTGTAAGGAAATTTATCACGGCGAAGAAGCAATTCAATATAAAAATTGCATCCGTTAAAAACAATTGGTAGTTATGGATTTTATTATTCCCGGAAAAAAACTAAAAAATGAAATTCATTGTTACCAGTTTTTACTCCGGTGCGCTGCCAAGATGAGACAATTTAGCGTGACCCACCGGTGGGTCACCCCGGCGTGAACATGTTAAAGTGATAGTTTATCGATTGGGATTCTTGGTTTAATAAATTCCATTTAGTAGATTTTTATCCACCACTATTTCTAAATAATTCGTTGGCTTATAGAATTCCCCACTTTATAGTAGTTATGTTATGCTATGCCTTTTAAAAATCAAGCAAAAATAGTTAAATATTTGCAAAATTTACTTTGTAGTTATTTACAGTTTTTTTTAATTATTTTGTCCGGAGCAGTTGGCATCTGTGACTTACATATTTTAACTATGAATATTTGCTTCTGTTTATGAATATAAGCGTAGAGAACAACAACAAACTTTGGTCAGCTCATTCTGGACTTAAAACAACAAGCACGCCATCATTGGTGTTTTTAGAAGGGGAAATAATTCTCGTGTAGTGTGAAGGCGTGAGTGTTTGGTTTAAGCTTATTCAATTTTAAGTTTTTAATTTTAAATTACAACCTTTAACCCCCTTGGGGACGGGTGATTCAGAAAAGCATTCGTACAAAATCAGAATCAGGATGTAATTAAATAAAAAACGGTAACTTAAATGCAGCCGTTTCTGATTTGACAGACTTACTTTGCTTTTACTTTAATTATTGTTAGTTTAATCATATATATAATCAATGTTAATTCAAAGTATAACTAAATAGTTTTATTTTGAACAAAGTAATGGTGAATTAAATAAATCAAACAATTGTAACTCAGCCCACAAATAAACTGCTAAAGAATTACTTTGATTACCAGTTTTATCTTTTTACCCTGGTTGATACAGTTTTATACTGGCACGTATTTGTGACAGTTTGAGCGAAAGGGTTAAGGTCGTATGAACGTACACTTGATTTGGTGCACAAATTCCAATAAAATTAAAATTGAATATTTTTCTCCCTCTTTTTAATTTTTCAAAACGCAAGAAACCTTCAAAAATTACGATTCTTCCAAGAAATAAAAAAAATAAAATTGTTTGTTCTAGTGTAATAAATAGCTTCAAGCTACCTCTTAATAGCCATATCAGTCCTCTATCAAACTTGAACATTTTTAGAGTCTAGATATGTTGCAAAACGCTTGCCGATTATATTAGGGGGACCGGAAAGTAATGTCATTTCGGCTCATTAAATATTCGTTACTCTTTAAAACCAATTCATATTTTTTGATCCATTTCGATTCATTTTCGATCCGACATTGTAATATTATTGCTAACGAGGGTGACAACATTATTGCACCGAAGCGACATTACTTTTCGGTCCACCTAATATGTATAATGCCAATTTATATCTCTCAGAAACTAATTAAAAATTATATATTAAAGCATCTTCATCATTTTTAAAGGATCGTAAAAACTTCGAAAAATAAGACTCTTATAATTTTACGATATTATAGAGAACTGTAAACTATTCCAATTACACATATCAATCATTTTTGGGTGGACTTGAGTACCTCTATATTTCCTCAATACCACGACAGCCCTGGATGGGCCGTAGCATTCTGCAGATTTTGGTAACAGGTGGCCCTATCCTTGGCTTTGTCTTTCCATCCTATTATTTATACATTGTTGAACAAAAAACGTGAATTCATTGCGAAAGTTAAGGTAAATAGTAAACTATAAATTATTAACTGCATTTGATGAAAAGTGTACCCTTTTTTAAACAATCAAAATATTTAATAAATCAAGTGAAAATGTAGTGAACTGTGATAAACGAAAGAAGCATAATGAATAATTTAATTATATAAAAACATAAATGGAGAGTTTAGTGGTAGAAACTGGTAAGTGACATTTTCAGAGATGGTAAGAGTAAGACAATCAGGGTAAGAAAAAAAAGTTATATCTACACTATTTTATTACCAATTTGTTAGACTACAGGGCAAAAAATTCTTTATTTTCTTTTCTATTTTTCACTGTCTAATTTAAAACAAAAATCATGCATATGCACTCAAAACTAATGCGGATTAGTTGGAATGAACATTTACCAAATCATAAAAATTAAATAATAGAAAAAAAAATCATAAAAATTAAGTAGAAAATCATAAGAATTAAAGAAACAAGCACAATATGGGAAAACGAAACAATAGCAACTTAGCACAACAAAGTAAATTTCAAAATCTTACCGAAGTTTATTTTTCATTTCTTTAATTGATTATAAGAGCGTGATTTATACATAGCATTAAGATTCTATTTTTCATTGAATAGTAAATGAGTGATAGACTTTTCATAGGCCATATTGCCAAATATAACATTACTCATCTACGAACCATTATGAGCTCGAACTAACTGAAAAGAAATAATAAAATCTTTCTTGATTAGCAAAATCCTGTGGCTCCATCTGTTATGAAAAAAGGAAAAAAAAACATTAGTTATATTAAGATTAATATGAAATCGAAAACGATTCTCTTACAGTAAAAGTACCCATATTAATGGAACCACTTAATGTCATTTTCTGCAATTCATAAACACTCCTAAAATGTCACTTACTCGGTTTTTACACTAAGCTCTTCAAATGTCATAAAATAATAATTAATGAAAGGAAATTTTAGTTTTTATTTTACTTTTTCCTAATCAAGTTTAAAAATAGAATATTTATCATTCAAATACAACTAAATTTTAAAAGTTTGGCTCGTGTATAATAAAGTAAAAAATATTTAATAGCAACTGAAGGACAAAGTTGACATCAAGAGGACTTCTTTAAGGGATTAATTTTCTTCTTATATTTTTTTTTCGAAAAAAAAAATAGATAAATCAGTCAAACTTTTAAGCTTAGTTTATTGTTTACTCATTGAAGTGGAAGAAAACATTTTTCCGCAGATTATTCTGACATTAAATGTAACAGGGAAATATAGTTATTAAAGAATTTGATTTACAAAAAATAATAAATGTCATTAGCAGAAAAATATTATTCCTTTTTGCTCCAAAATCTTAAAATAAGGATTAAATAAATAGTCATTATATTTTATTTAAGTTGGTATTAATAATATTCGTTGAAAATAACTAAGGCGGAAAAAAATGAAAATACAGAAAGCAGAATTAATAAAATAAAAAAATTCTAAATATATTTTTTCTGATATTTAATTAATTAAGATGATTAAGAGAATAGCTAAATGTCAAGCTCAACTAAACTTTAGATTACAGGGTAAAATTTAATAGTTTAAAATAACTTTGTTAATCGTTAATTAGCAAAGGAGGTTATAATTGGAAACAATTTGTGAAAGATTTAGTTAGACAAAACTCAATAAAAAAACCATCTTTTAACTTTGTTTCAGTTTTTTATCACTCAATTGTAGAACTCGTTTATTGAATATGAAAAAAATAACTTTAAATTTTATTATTTTTAACTCTAAAACTATCTAATCTTCATGCAAACTAGTGAAAGTTTTAATTAAGTGATTTTAGATAAAATATTTTTGAAACAAATAATACTTTGAATTTAAATGAACATGCGTTAATTATAAAAAGTACAATGTTAAAAATTTTTGAAGCAGACAATTATAGTTAACTATGGATGAACTATGGCTTCTAGAAAATTAAAAAAAAGAAAAAAAAGGAAAAGAAAAAGAAGATTTAGCGAGATAGGTCATCTTTCTACTTTCTTTTATATGTATGTAATCTATTTATCTACCTACCTATCTATCTATCTATCTATCTATCTATCTATCTATCTATCTATCTATCTATCT